CAAAAAGATCCTTGCACCATACCAGACTGGTATTACCAGTATATATAAAAAAGAAAATGTACCTCAAGTAAATGGCAATGTTGTAAAAAATGTGCCTGTAAATATATCATTAATTAATTAAAATTTGCTAACAACATAAATAAATAAAATCAGTGATAATAATACTGATAATAACTTTATTTCCAACCATGTAAAGTAATATTGTCATTGCTGTCTTTTTAAAATCAAGAAATTAACACTTTTCCGGCCTAGTCAGGAAAAGGGACTTTTGCCTGATATTCCCATATTATGGTCGAATAAAAATAGGAAAAGGGGGTAAATGTTTACTTTCTTTCATCTTATTCTTTTGACTTTTTTGTCATTAAAACAATCTTATTTTTTATCCAATTTTTTAGCTGATTCTGGTTGAAAATAAAATATAATATTTATAACTTACCATTTTCGCTCTGGTTTTCCAAAACACTATCCAGTGTTGATGATATTGTTTGATCTCGTGGTTGCTCCATAAGTTTGCGTCCTAAAAGATGGATATGCTTGCACATATTCCACCTAATTGATGAGTCCAAGCAACTGCAACTGTATTTGTGGATGCATATGTTGCAATCAGAACAAATTAATGAGCAATTGCAGTTCTCAATATTCATCTGTATCTCGTACAGTTCAGGGCTTTTCACTGAAGAAGAAAGTACCTGCCAGCGATTACCATCCTCTGTTATCAAATTTAAATTGAGATCTGCACTCGTCTTGTGCCTCCTTCTCAAATCTTTAATTTTGCTACTGATTTTTCCCTTATTCAGTGTGATTATACGGTCAAATAATTTGTCCTTGACAAATCTCATTATGCATGTTACACATTTATCTAATCGTTTAACATGTTGCCCCTTTAGATAAATGTGCTTAATTGTTTTGTGCATGCTTTCTAGGTGCATATTTGTATTGAGTCCGCTGTGTAATCTGTAGCAGTACGCCCATGATTTGACATTCTTCTTATAGAAGTTTTTGAAATAAATTGAAAACTTTTTGGTGTCTGGGTCTTCTGCAGTTTTCTGTAAAAAATTTTGAAGCATGGGTAGCAGGGCATTTTCATCAGTCTCTTGCATTAATGTACGAAGCTCTTGATAAATATCAACCTATAACAAAAATGGATTTAGTATTTCCCACATATTAGCACTTACATAAGTCTAATGTCACCTGTTTCTCCTTTGTATTTACTAAATGCAGATTCTTTCTCCATGCCCGATCGACGTGCCATATACAGAACAAACTGTAAAAAATAAATATTATACATTTTATGACATTTGATAACATAACATAGATACAAACCGCATTTGTGCCTCATTCATTACACGTTTCCATGCGTTATAGTAAGATTCTGCCAAATCTGACATGAAGACCTTTGGTCTCAAGTTTAATCCAGTCCTTTGTTTGATACAAGAAAAGAACAAGACCATCACCTCTTGATCAGACCGATTTGAGATAAGAAATGCTGCAGGAAATCCTTGCCGTAATTCATCCAAAACTAACAGGGTATGGAGCTCAAAGTGATATGCATTTAATCCGTGTGTACCATCGATGCATATACAGTCTGAACCAAATTTATTTAACATTTCAACCTGGCCTTCATTCATAATCACCAAGATGAAATCTTCGCTTTTCAACTCAGGATGTTCTTCCAAAATACAATTTTGTGGCTTGTAAAATAACACACACTGTCTTTGTTTAATATCATTTACCCATGATTCAATGCTGATTGCATCATTTGGATGCCTTACAGCTCCCGACTGCAAATTAAAGGTAGCAGCTATATTGTTCAAGTCTTTGTTGGTTAATAAATGAATTCTTTGAACCGAACTTCCACAAATTTTGTCACGTATTTCGTCCAATATATCAGAAAAAGGAATCTTCATTGCAATTTTTGCTGCAATTTCTTTTCTTTCTGTAGTGGTTAATGTTATATGTCCCAAATCGTCTGTGTGCCCAACATGTGTTTTCATAAAGCTCACATTATATTCACCATTCGAATTCACCTCTACTTTGAAACCTGCCGGACAAAACCCACCAATCTTTTTGCTTCCCTGTGTTTTCAATTGCCTTTTCTGTTGGCCTTCTGCCACATAAAAGCCGGATCTATGGCACACATAACGCAAAATTCTCTTTGACTTAGTTTCCCTGTTTCCACATTCTTTAACAAATAAAGATTTTGTTTCGTTTTCCATTGAATTTTTCCAAGTTTTAAATGACTGCTCTGTAGAAAACTCAAGTTTCTCAAAACAGAGTTCTATGTCATGGATTTCTCGGAAATGATCATTTAATTGGATCTTAGAATAACCCGTAAAACTACAAAGTGGACAATTTTTACAAAACTTTGTAGAAGTTACGTCGTTCAAAATACCGTGAGTTTTATTATGAAATGTTAAATGCTTCTTATATGTGAATTTTTTCCCACAAACATCACACATGAAATTTAATGTACGATGTTTAGTTAGTGGAGCTATTTCATCTAATTTTGAAGGATGGAAAGTCTTAACATGCCTTCGCAAATCATAAAAAGTTTTTAAAACAGAAGGACATTCACTGCACTTAAATATAGTTTCAGTAGAACTTATTTCACTCATCTTACACGACCGTAAAAACTACTTTTTAAGAAGTACACAGATATAAAAAACACAGAACAAACCAGAGATAAACAACAAACCAGTCAAAACATTCTTAGGTTAAGTTTAATTTTGGCGCAAAGACCAGAGTACTCGGGTATAATCGTGATGAAATGTGACGCGACATCGCCCGAACAGATAGTGACTGTTCAGGGCCTAGACGCGAGTAACTCTGTGCAGTGTTGCAGTGATTTTTAGTATTTTTAGTACGAGATAGATTAGTATTTTTAGTACGAGATAGAACCACAAAACTAGTTTTGTGGATAGAACAGAGTCTGTTCAACAGACCTTGTTGTGTGGATTGTGGGTTGGAGCGGATTATCTGGTTATAAGGCGTTGGCAACATTGTGCACTTGTCATGTTAAGCAAAAATGCCTTATCTGCAATATTTAATATTATAGATAAAGTCACTTTCGCTGAACAGTGCAGCTGCACTTAAACCTTGTCATTAAGAGGCCTATTCCCTTTCTTGCTGTTCGTAAACATCGATTTCTTAACATGTATGTTCACCCAACGACAAGCCAAACATCACCTATGTTTAAGGTTATTCCGTTTCTCATATGTTGAGAGTCTTGACCTTGAATCTTTCTGAACAGCGATAAATGTTTTTAGAACAGGGAGTTTCTTAGTTTTATAACCTAAAAGTCGCAGATCGTAAACTAAAATTGTGTTAGATAATTGTTTTAAAAATCATTGGTGATATTTAATATATTAAATGAACTTAAAAACAATTTGGGAAAATCCACAAATTCTAAAAATACTTGGGAAAAACGTTTTATGCTGAACTAGCCAAAGCACAGATCTTCTGGCGGGGCCATTAAGTCCATCCTTATATGGAAAAGGGTAATCATAAAATATCTTAAAATAATTATTTGTTACTTATTTTTACACACTTTTAGTGTATTGAAAATGGCAAGAAAACTACGCATTTCTCACATGGAGACTGGCAATGTCGGGGAGCCAGTAAAACAACTTAATTACTTTAAGGATAAATTACTAGCCGTAATAGAGGAAGCGCTGTGAAAGTTAGTGGTGGAGGGTAAGGTGGAGGTAATACCATCGTTGGAACTCTTCATTGACCAGCCTTTAAGGTCGGGTGGAAGGGACCCTTCTACAACGGAGAGGCATAAAGAGAAAGTCAAACTCAAACTCTGACGAGTAGTGAAGGTGTAGAGGTTTTACAAGGTATTGATAAAACCTATAAGATTTTAAAATTAAACCAAAAAGTTTTAGCTCCCATGTGAAGAAAAAGTGTTTTTAGATGCATATTTGTTGTATTTTATTAGCTAAACTTTTCTTTGACTAATATTTTGTCTATATTTTTGAGTAATAATATTCCATAGGTATTTGATGTTTTATATTTGTTGTATTTTTTTAATAAAATATATTTTTCCAAGTTATTTTTTATTCTACCAATAAGTATATAGTTTTAGAGGTCGTTTTTAAACACTCTTGTAACATATGTATAAGTCTTGACCTTCCTCCTCCACATTCTCTCTTCACACTCAGTTTTTTTTAATTTTCTGTTTTTCTCTAAATAAATATTTATTATTATAATAAAATTACATTAAAAAAATCAGTAAAGCAAATATTGTATTCTGGTAGGTATTATAATTAGTAAATACGTTTTAATAATTAAAAAACAAATCAAACATATTTTTAAAATTACCAAAAAATATATTATTTGTTTGGTGTAAAACCTTATATGATATATTTGTCCTATTCTCAATTATAAATAATTATTTATCATTTATAATTATAATTAATTAGGTATTAATTATGAAAAAGTAATTAATTTATAATTACCATGCTTGATAATGATACTGTACTGTATACTGTACCAAACATCGCCGCAATTTATGATTAATGCAAGATAAAAAACCTTAAATATTGTCTAACAGCACCTCTTAGGCAAGGGTTCGTAAACATACGTTTTCAAACATCATGTATGTTCACCAAACATCGAATTTTGGAAACGGAATAGCCATTTTAACACCGATGATGTTTATAAACATGGATGTTTAAGAAATTCTTCGAGCGCATGCGTCTATAGACGAAATAATTGAAAGGGAATAGGCTCATATGTTACGAAACATATGTAGTTCATGAACATGCATGTTTAGCGAAAGGGAATAGGCCTCTAAGGTACCGATTTATTGCTTTTTTGTAAAAATTTAAACATTATAAATAGATAAGTTGGGCTGATAAAAAAATCAATTCACATGTATTATAATAAAATTAAGATTTTTGTTTTTAATAAAAATAATATTCTTTTATTATGATAAATTAATTGAATTAATCTATTGGTACCACTGATTTGGTAAAAGTAAAAAATTGACAAGTTTCCAAGTTTATGTTTCCGCCAAAATTACGCGCCAAGAGTGATTGCACTTTTTTGTAGGGGTTTTCTAATCTTTTTGCTGTTGTAAACACTAATTCTAAGTACAATCATGAGTGGAAATTATAATTTAACTGAAGGAGCTCTTCAGGTAACCATTCCAATTATTTTGGTTATTACTTAATTATATTTATATTTTAGAACATAATGAGAGGAGGAGATCCAACAGATCCAATTGTCCAAGTACTTGGAACCAAAAAAATTCAAAACAGTTCTGAAAAGGAAAAGGAGCGTTACCGACTACTTTTGTCTGATGGAAAATTCACCATTTCTTTTGCTATGATATCTTTGCAACCTGGTGAAAGATGCATTCCTAATTTTTCTGTTATTGTTCTTAAACAATATATTACAAGTGTTGTCAATAATGCATCCAAAACTGAACAGTACAAATTTTAATTACTCCAAGAGTTTCATAATATTGCACAATTTGATTTTAGACGAATTTTATTGGTTTTGGAATTTGAAATTCTTCATAGTGGCGAAACAGTTGGCAAAAAACTTGGCACTCCAACACAGTTAACTGATGCAGACAGCAAACCATCATCATCTTCAAATGGAACATTAACTGCTAAAACAAATGGAAATGCACCATCAACTTATAAGCCAAATTCCTCTTCAAATGTTTCTGTTTCTGATGGTGTTAGCATTGCTGGACAACTAGCACATCCAATCTCAAGCCTTAGCCCATATCATAACAAGTAAACTTTAAAATATTCCTTTTTTTCATTAAACTTATCAATTAATTATAGGTGGGTTATCAAAGTAAGAGTTGGAAACAAATCAGCTATTCGTACATGGTCCAACTCAAAGGGAGAAGGCAAACTTTTCAGTTGCGATTTTATAGATGAAAGTGGAGAAATTCGTTGTACTGCCTTTCGAGATTTGGTTGACAAGTTTTATGAAATGTTACAGGTAATATGATTTTTAAAAATTTATCAAAACTACTAAAATTAACACATTTCAGATTGATAAAGTATATTATGTAAGCAAATGCCAGCTAAAACCTGCAAATAAGCAATTTAATACAGTTAAAAATGAGTATGAAATGACTATGACAAATGAAACAGTAATCCAAGAGTGTTTGGATGCAGATCCAAATATTCCACAAACAAAATATGATTTTACTCCAATTGACAAACTTGCACATATTGAAGTTGGAACACTAATTGGTAAGTTGCTACCTTTTTTAAATATGTAATGTTTTAAGTACCTACATATGTTTTGAAAATTAAATAAAAAAAGCAAGACCACAAAATAAAAATTTGTGGGGCTCTAGGGAATGAGTTTTATGACCTGAAAAATGCCTTTAGTGATAAACATTATAAACTAAAACTATATTTAAAAATTTGTGTTATATAAGTTAATAGAGTTAAAGTTAAACTAATAATTATTTTTTAAATGAGAAAACTGTTTTAAATACTTTTATATAAATCAGGGCTGTCCAACTGTATGTAAATAAAATTTTTGTGAGTGTTGCAACTTTATCAGTGATTTGTAATAGGTTCCAAAAACGTGTTTGCTTTTATAATTATTTCTATTTAATCAAAAAAATAACAAATATACAACAAAAAATAGTGGGTATTTGGGGATGTTGGTTTTCACTTAGGTACCAGTGTATCAATATTAACATAAATATTTGTTGTTGCTAAACAAAGCAACTGAGTAAGTAACTTATCAGACAGGGAACACCTATATTTTGACTTTGGATATTTCATGTTAAAAAAGCTGCTTTCACAGCTTCCCAGCATTGAGCCCATTATAAGGCCCAAGTTTTGCAATTTGGGGTAACATTCTCCTGGTAGTAACTTAAAAAGGTCCAATCCTATTTCGGTAATTCCTTGATACAGTCGTCGCGGCGAATGTTTGAAATTGCGTCATCAATGTCGAATGTCAAAAACCGATTTCTCGACATGTTTAAAAAACGTAAAATGTTAGGTTAGGACCTATCCTAACATTTCTCGTTAGGTAGTCAGTAGCGTATCATTTTCAAGGGGTCCCTGCGTATACTGTGGGTGGCCTGATTATCGAGTAAGTAAACTTTGCATTCGTTTTTTAAATGAAATGCCTCTGGTTTTTTGATTTTACCTGTAATAATGTTGTACAATTGTTAAGGAACAAATTCTCCTGACAAAGCACCATATGCAACTGTCCCAATCACTGTAAACCCTAACCATGTGGGGACAATTTATTAACAGAAACGATTTTGGTGGAAAAACATTTATAGAATGAAGGTGTTTTTTTTCTCAAAATTGTTTAATATTTTAATATTGTAATGTACAGGGTGATCCCCTATAATGTCACCCCCCTTTAACTTTTTTATTTTAATTGTCCTAAAAAATTTAAAAGTGTGGTTGTGTAGGTACTAAAAAATACTTTTTTTCTACTTATGTATAAAAAAAAAGGAAAATTGATCGATTTTCCCTACATCGGTTTTCGAATTCTTCTGCAATTGTGTCAATGTATTTTATATGAGTATATGTATTTTAAACGAGTTAAATATGAAACCTTAAAATTTCTATTTCTTCAAAGTGCTCTTTACATCGTGGAAAAAATCATGTTTTTCTAGTGAAGACTTAAAAAGCTTAATTTTATTTATAAATCCTCTTATAAATTGGCAATATTCTGCTGCTCTGCCATGCTTAATGAAAACGCCGTAACCAACAATTTTGCGATTTTTGATTTGCGGCATTTTCTACTAGAACAATTCATCCTGCGTCTATTCCCGGTACTCAAAAAACCGTATCTATATATATACGGTTTTTTGAGTACCGGGGATAGACGCAGGATGAATTGTTCTAGTAGAAAAGGCCGTAAACCAAAAATCGCAAAATTGTTGGTTACGGCGTTTTCATTAAGCACGGCAGTGCTGTAGCTGTAGCTTTCAATTTAATTCCTTAAGTTGAGATGTCAGGTCTTAAAAATCCAATGTCTGATTTTGCATCTACAATTTGATTTTCCAGTTTCCAGTTCACTTTATTTTTATCGGTGTGACTCAAAGCACGAATTCCCCCTTATGAGTATGAGTATTAGAAACGTAAAACCCTCTGTTTCCTTGCGCCGATTTTCTTTCGCCACCAGCAACGGCGCGGCTTCACCCGTGTTTGCTGGTTGCGAATGTCCATTGCGTCCCGTACTGTCCAATAATTAGGGCTCAAAAGCGAAATGCCAATAGTTTTAGTAGCCATTCCCGGGTTCGCCGAGCCGATGCCAAATGGCCAGTAGGGTCATAAGGAGGTAGGACGGGAGGGATAGATATTTTGGTGTTTGGGGGACAATTACGCCGACTTAAATATAAGTACGACGCGGTACCCCTCTAGACCAGGCAGTTAGAATTACTCCAAACATTTTGGATTACTGTATGGAGTTCGGAAGTTGATATTTTGCTGCAGGAGCCTACGTCTTGGTCTACGTTTTTGTCGTTATTGTTCATAGATGACCGAAGGTATAGATAGCCGACTCTCGTTAGAAAATCGAAACAAAGTTAATTTAACAGCGGATATCACCGCCCGTGGCGCTGCAAGCAGATCCATTCTAGATAGCGACATCTATTGTCCAAGGGCTTTACTAACAGTTTAAACCGCCTGGAATCTACAGTGCGACATCTAGTGTATGATATCTATACTAACTTAAATCTCCTTGAATTTTAAAATTGTAAACCGTAAAAATTTTGTTTTAAATACAAATCTTGCTCGAATGAAACTGACTAACAAATATATTTAAATCGGTTAATTTTTATTAAAGACTTTCAGAAATTAATTATTATATTGTGAGACAATGAGTCCTTATAAAAAAAATTTAATATTAAAACTATTGTCTAGAAATTTTAAACAAACATATTTAAATATGTTGTATTTTCAGATGTCCAATAAGATTTGGAAAACAAAATTTAATATAATATTACTAAGGCTTGAAGTTTTCATGCTTATGTTGGTTTTCTCTTAAGATGTTTGCATTTTATAATGAATTCTATCAAATCCAATAGAAATACTTATTGGTAAGTTTCATACTAATCAGATTTGTATTTTAAAAAAACTTCTCACAGTTTACAATTACAAAATTTAAGGCAATTTAAAAGTTCTCATATTAATCACTAAATGTAACATTGTAGATTACAGGAGGCGATATACAATAACTGTATTAATTAATAATGAGTTTGAAAAATCCTTGAATTGGGAAAATGTAATAAAACAAACAAATTATGATTTTAGATATTTTTTAAATGAAGTACATATATAAAAATAAAGTTTACAAGTATAAAACAAAGCAAATATAATAATATAAAAATAAAGTTTACAATTATAAAACAAAGCAAATAAGCATTAATGTCTTAACCAAAAAAAATTTTACTAATTTAGTTAACAATCTTTTTTAAATTTTTAATAGCCTCCTTCTTCTTCTTGGACTCATTTTTACCTATTTATAAGGCATTTTTTATATATTGTATTGGTTATTTCTAAAGTTAACTAACTTACGTCAGGATCCTTAGGAAACGAGTGTAATACTGCCTCGTTACTTGTATTTCTACAATTAACAAAGCTGGAACAAAACCTTTGGTCATCTATGAACACAACAATAATGGGGTCTCTAAAGTATAAACGAAAATTTGACAAATTGTCAAATTGACAAATATGCCACCTAAAAAAGCGTTATTTAAATTCTGCTGCTTCAGCGCTATAGTCGATCCTATCCGCAACTAATTTTAAGGTCTGAAAAGGAAGGGGGGAGTGAGCATAGCATGTTATTGTTCGTGTCCAAGAAGGATTGTTCCTGCACATGTGTCTTCAGTCTTAAGGCCGAAAACCATCAATAGATAGTTCAGTAGTTGGATATGTAACTTGTAGTTTTTTATGTTTTTTTAATTGTTTATTGCCGCAGTAGTGTGAAATTTCCATCAATTTTTTAGTTAATGTGTTGCCCAAGCACGTTTTGTGGTAGAATTGTTTTGTCTTTTTTTTTTAATTTCCAAAATTAAGTATTGCATTTATTTCTTAGTTAAACAAATTACATGCGCAATTATTCTGTTATATCTAATGTGTTTACAAATCCAATAGAGTTTGATTAGTATGCTGTTTGAGTTTTAATGATTTATTGAGTGTTAGTTAGTGTCAAATGTTTATTATTGGTCTCGTTTGGGTTAAAATTTACGTTCTTTAAGTTACTGGGTTTCATGCCTTACGCATTTATTGTTGACAGATTTATTGTACTCAGCTTTGGTGTATCAGCGCGATAGTTCGATTGGGAAGTTTTGTTTTTTGTTGTTTGTCTTTTTTTTTTAATATTTTATGGTGTTTGGTTAGTATTGTCTTTCTAATGTTTCTATTGTTACTGATGTTTATTGTTTTTAGTTTAAGCAGTGTGCCTTTCTTAGGGTTTTAAAGGTATCTGTCGTGTTTAATTTTGCAAATTATGTGTTAGGTCATGCATATGCTTGAGGATACTTATCAATTTTTGCGGATGCCCACTTCCCCTCTTGTTTGACCTCTTTTGTTTGTCTAGTGAAAAGCGTCCAATGACAGGTCACTCTTTCTTATAACTTAACACTTCACTCTTTATTGACAGTTAAACTAGTTTAGTTTGCACTTTATGAAAATTGTTTGTTGGTTTTGTTCTCTTTTGTTTGTCCAGTGAAAAGCGTCCAGTTGAGGGGTGGAATGACCACCCAGAAGCTCGCTTATCACTTAACTCTTTCTTATCACTTAACTCTTAACTCATTCTTGACCGTAGGGTAGTCTATACTCACTGAAGTTGTTTCACTATAATTGGTTTGCACTTTTGGGAATTTATTGTTGGTTTTAAACTTTAAACTTTTACGTTTTAAGAGCTCTCGCTGCTACAATGCGTCTTGCCTTGTCAAGTGCTGGAACCTGATGATTTCCCCCTCATATAATATAAATTATTTTAACAACCAATTTTATGACATTCATTTGACGTACAGTTAAGGAAAATAGTAATGTCCATTTGAATGCGCAATTGTAACTGTTCGGAAGCATTGGGAAATATTCAACATCTGCTTCTTAGGGATTTATTTAAAAATATGTCTATATTTAGAATTTACTACCTGCTCGTATTGAATTAATTATTTTGGGTGTATTACATATTTAACCGTATTTTTATTAAATTGTTCATTTTTTGAAATATTTTTTTATAGTTTTATAAAATTTATACATTT